GGCTAATTCATATAAGAATATAGCTGAGAGGGTTCTGGAATTATTGCCACCTTTAGCAGACCCCCATCAGTAGTATGAATAGTAGTTCTGCTTAGCCAGCCCCTCCCTCACAAGCAGTTTAGCAACTGTGTGTGATTAGTATTCTTTACACTGAATAAATGGGATAGCTGATAGTGTATACTAAGTCGAATGCAACTTTTTGTCACTAAAATTTTTGTTCATTTTGTGGTTTGTACTACTATAGTCGAATTAAAATGAAGCAATCTGGTTTGCACTTTGGTATGTGGGCAGGACTCCTAATGTATGGGCGGGTATCAATGAATCTAATTAACTGATCACAAGATGTCGTTAGAGCGCAAGTGTTGGGATGCGTTTGAGAATGGAGATCATGAAGAAGCTGTTCGCTTACTACCATTAGTGAAGGAACTGAATAAAATTAAAATAACACAAATAGTATGGGGTAATACTAATTTACTTCATTTGTCTTCAATGAATGGCTGGTTAGATGTTACAAAAGATCTCATCACTAAATATCACTGTGACCCATACGAAAGAGATAGTGATGGTCGGACTTGTCTTCATTATGCTGTACGAGGTAATCATGTTGATGTGATGAGATATCTCATTGATGAGTGTCACTGTGATCCAATGGCTGTTGACCGTGCCGGGTGGACACCTCTTCTCTGGGCTGTTAGTTGGGGTAGTTCTGCAGCTGTTGAATATTTACTATCAACTGGTAAATGTGATCCATTGGCTAAAAGCAATGGTGGGAACACACCATTTAAACTAGCTAAGGAGAGAGGTCGCACTGATACTCTTTCTGTCTTGAAGAAGTTTGGTGGCATAAAATCATCTCATCCAATTGATTCTTATGCTAACGTCCTCCTTGTGGGTAATCCTGGAGCTGGTAAAAGTACTCTTAGTCATGTCATCAATGACACAGCTAGTTTTACTCTTCTTGGTTCCTTTAGAAATGTTGGAGGGGTAGTGCCCTGTACTGCTGGCATCATTCCTTATAAACTACAACACAGGACACTGGGTAACATCATTCTTCATGATTTTGCTGGTCATTCGGAATACTACTCCAGTCACAGTGCTGTCATTGAGAATCTGTTGCAAGGTTCTGGTGGTGTGTTCCTGATAGTAGTCAATATATTGGAGAAGAAAGCAGTGAAACAGCTTCATCAGTGGCTAACAGTTGTGAGAAATGAAGCACAGAAAGCTCTTAATCAATGCCATGTTATTGTAATAGTCAGTCATGTGGATGAGATAAGTAATCCTGTTGAAAGGAGAAGGAGAAAGGAAGAAATACAGAAGATTATTGTAAGGGAAACGTGTGATAGTGTCTTCTTAGATTGTCGTAAGCTTGGTGGGAGTGGTATGGATTCCTTCTTCAATAAGTTGTCTAGTGCCTGTGAGTCCATTCGTAGTACAAGTGGAAGGAATTTGAGTCTTTATTGTCACATGATGTATGGTCTACTGGAGGAAAGGAAAGAGAATATACTGACCCTCTCCGA